TTTTTGTTCTTAACGGAACAGAATTTCATCCAATGCCATTTACCACAATGGTAACATGGTCCGGGCGGTTTCTTTAACTTATTTGGGTTTTGGTTACTGCGTAATTTAGGACATGAGATTTGCCTTTTGTCTTTTTGAGGGGAATAGGAGGTAGACTTACTTCTTATTTTATTAATCTGAGTCACACCTGATTCCTTGATAGTGTTTGAGTCACGCTTTACAGATATTACTCTTTGACAGTCCTCTGCCAGTTTTTGGAGAGTCAATCCTTGTTCGTTCTCAAGCTTGGTCAGTACCCGTCGTCTGACTTCGGCGTCTTCTGCTGATACTAGACCTTGTGCGAAAACTAAGCACTTGAAATCATCGGCAGTCAGTTCGGCTAGTTTAAAATCATTACAGAGCTTGTTTACCGATGCTGCAAACGTTAGAAAATCTTGTTGGTTGTTTTTGACTGTGTTCAGGCATTTCCAACGTTTGTGGAACAAGGTTGTGTTAGGCCCGAATAGTTCCGATAGGAGCTTAATAGTCTCTGAAAAATCCAAGTCAGTCGTTTTCTTGGGTAGTATGAAGTCTACGAACCTACTATGTTCTGTACTTCCCAGTTTTCTCAATAGTAGACGGACCTTTTTTTTTTTTTTTTTACTGGGCCATTGTTCACAATCTACGTTCAAAATCTTCGTAGTGTCTGTAAAATGCCTCAAAAGTTTTGTCTTCCTCTGGTACGTATTCAAAGGTTTCCATTGAATTGTAGATTATACTCTGGGAGAATATTGTATCTTTTTCAGAGTTTGAGCCTTTTAATGCATTTACGAGTAATTCTTTAAGTTGTTTTTGTTGTAGTTCAGCATTCTAAAGCGTAATTTTTTGAAATTCCATTTGTTGTTTATGTAATTCCAAAAATAGTTGTCTTTCTTCTGCTTTTTGTTGCTGATCCAAATTTAGTTTTAACATTTGGGCAACTACTTTTTGCAAATCTTCCATATTTAAAAATGACAGCGCTTTTTTTCTTGCTTTGAAACACGTGTACTAAGAGGAGGTACACAAAAAAAAATCTTGATACAGAAAAAAAAATATGGACAGACAATTAGTTAAACTAAACCAATTATGTGTTTAGCTTTTTTTCCAGTGGTTCCGTTAATTTTGACGTAATTGAATAAATTTTTCACCACACTTATGTATTTTTTTTTTTTTTTAGAAAGGTACAAAAAGAGAAAACTCACCTCAGTGAATTTGAGGGGAGAATAATTTTATGCCCGAGTTCAACTCAGTTACATAAAAATTTCGATAGTTTTCGAAAACTTGAGTACAATGGTAGTACAACTGTTGTTTTTTTCCCGTGTGTGTGTGAGTAGAAATCGTTCTCGTATTTTGGACAGACTTTAATATTCTGTAGATGTCGAAACACTGCTCGTCACTGATGTTTGGTATTGGAATATATGTAGACTCTGGGTGTTTAGCTTTTAAATCGCTAATGTATTAATATCAGCTTAATTTCACGTTCAACACTGCTGTGGGAACGCATGGTGTATTTTTCGAGTACTGTCGCTATTGATATGGTGAGAACGAAATTCTCGAATCTTTGCCAGTCCCACAACAGTGGCGACAGAAAGTATTGCGGTTTTTCGACGTGAATGCGTTTCTAGAATTCTTCGTCGACTCAGATGTGGGATTAGTAAGATATTTAGGTTTCGCCGTGAGTGCCACTGATGTGGGGCCAAAGTTGGGACCACAGAAGTAAAACACGGATTAGATGTAAGAAAGATATATTAACAACAGGTTACAGAGATAGTGTAAGCGGAGCTTACTATATCACTCTCTGTGTGACTCTCTAGAGTGTTATGTCGCCTACTTAATATAGGCTTGGAAGAGTCTATTGTGTAGATTAGTTTCCGGTCTCACAATAGTAAACCTAGTGAGCCAGACAAACCTACCTAGGTTTCACCTAAACGGATCGTCAGGGAAAGCCGGCTTTCCCTGACGAAATTTATTTCCTTCTTTAATTTTCAGAAACACGTTGTCGTCTTATACTCAAGCATGTAATTTATTCCCTCTTTTTTGCTTCTTAATCACGTGTTCGGCTTATACTCAATGATTTAATTTATTCACTGTTTTTAGTTTCAGAAACTCGGGTTTGTATTATACTCAAGCATGTAATTTATTGAAAGGATTATCGGAGAAAGTACATATGTCATCGGAACGAACTTCAAAAGTGATCGACACTTCATAGACACCTCTTCCAAGTAAGACCCCCCCCCATAGAGGAGAACGTAACAAAGGACTGTGTGTACAACCATCCAATGCAGCTGTGGTAAGAAATATAAAGGAGAAACAGGCCGCTCCCTTAAGGTAAGACTGCAAAAACATCGTAAAGCCGTAACGCCAGGGGAAATAGAGAAATTAAGTGTAGCTGACCACATATAGAGGAAAAATGAGCTCACCGCCCACCCCCTGTGGAATGAGGTTGAATTAATAGACAGAGAACATTACTGGAAAATACGAAAACTTAAGGAATCAGCACATATGCTATGTCACAAAAATCTCCTAAGCCGGCCAAGCATAGAAATGAATACAATATGGAAACTAATAACACGGAGCGCTAGAGAAAAGCAATAAGAACAACAACAAAAATTGCAGTATGAGCTCTGGTAAAAATGGTTACTGAGGGGGAGTAATATTGGTTACAACTACAAATGACAGCAAGTTGTGGGGAGCCATGATGAAGCTACCTAACGTGTAAATGAACGGTGAAAAAATGGATTGCGAGAAATAGGAAGTTGATGAGAGCCATGATCTCAGCCTACCTAACGAGCTTTTGTAAATGATAGGTAAAATATACTGAGAGGGATAGTAAGGGGAAAAATATTGCTTAGAACTACAAAAGATGGGAACTTGGGGAGAGCCATGATCAACCTTTTTAACAAGCTTATGTAAGTGAATGGTAAAACATGGAATGGGAGGGATTGTATGAGGACAAATATTGATTAAAGGATTGGAAGTTAAGGAGAGCCATGATCAAGCTACCTAACGAGCCTGTGTAAATGGATGCAAAACATGGACTAGGAGGGATGGTAAGAGTTAAAGCTTCAAAGAATAGGAAGTTGAGGAGAGCTATTATCATCCATCCTAACGATCTTGTATAAGTGGATTGCAGAACAGGGATAATAAGATTACAATCATTATTTAGTGCTCCAAAGATAGGAAATTGTGGAGAGCCATCTTCACTGATGTCGTGAAAGAGACACAGTACAATATATGATCCTACTTCCATCTGAAAGAAAATTAGCCAGTAATATCTTTGTCCCAGATCAAAAATTGTGTTAAATCACGATTTTTTCAAACAAAGAACTGACATCGTTTGTTCGAAGAAGAAATTATATCACTACTTTGGAAGCTACAGACCTCACCCCTGTCTTCGGAAAAGTATTGATCTTTTACTTAATTCAATATTCCATGAGGAGGCCGTTCGGTGAACGGTCGAGGCTGTTGGAAATGATTTTTGCTCTTAATGTGTTTTCACTGTCATAGTTTTTTTTTGTCATCGTATGAATAAAATCGTCTGTGATGGCATGTGTAATGCTTACGACATATTGAGACTAAAATGGCGACGAAAGCCTGTGTCTGTGTGTGCGCATGCGCGAGAGAAAAAAATCAAATCGAACTAGAATTTTTCTAGGCCGAATTTGTTGGAGTCTCTGTTTTAGTCGAATCATTGCTTTGAAGCACTAAAAATATTTCTACAGTAATGTTTATGACAACACACGCACGTTCGCGCGCATAGAGAGACAGCTATGTTTCACCAGAAGGCGGTTTTGAACATGCTACTCTCGTTCTTCCTTGTTAATGCGGCGAAGTTGAAACTAAGTGCTAAGCATCCATGTCTTTCAGTCAAAGGAGGATATATATCAAATTTTACAATTCAAATTTTTACAATAAAATCGGATTTAGATAGCCAATGTTTGTAAAATCATTCAGAGTATCCCTATATGAATGTAGTATGTGACTCACACCAAATGACAGCTAAATAGAGTTGGCACTTGATATCACACCAGTCCATTAGAGAAGGAGGGTGCTTAAGAAAGATACCCTCATATCCCCCAGGAGCATATCCATGCCTCACATGTAAAAACATGGTTGACAAAGTTTTAGTTAGGATGGACATGCCATTCTTGGTTTGAGACGGAGGTTGCAGAAAGAACCAATTTGAGAAGAGCATCTACGAACAAAACAACATTCTTCAAAAACACCAGAAGACAAATACAAGAGGCGAAGAATGCCGAAGGAAAAGCCAGGGCTCCCATTCTCTGGAATATACATGTATAGAAACTATAGTGGCCACAAAGTGAAGGATCATAAATCGATCCGGTCAATTGGGAGACGGAAGCTGTAGAAAGAACCAATTGAAGAAGAGCATCCACGGAAAAACAACATCCCTCGAAAACACTATAAGGCAAATAAGAGACGAAGAGAGCCTAAAGAAATGCCAGGGCTCCCCATCCACTGAACCCTTGTACCCTACAATGTCGTTCCTGTAGACATCCATTCAGATCCAACATTTTCTTCATACAGTAGGAAATATTGATGAGCTTCCCAATACTCGGCAACGAGTTCCGCTAACGATGACGACATGTGTTTGGTTGATTTTTTATGGTTTGCCAATCCTTTAAATTCGAAACATATTTTAGGTTGTAAGAATAACATTTTATGCCAGTGATTATTTCAATAACAATTTTTTGAGAATAACAATTATTTTTCTAGATAAAATCCTACTGTTTAATCCATAGCTGGAGTAAGGGAGATAAATTCATATCTTTCCAAAATGAATAAAACGAACCCGCCTAGAATTTGAATTCGGGTTTCCGATCTCCTTCCAAGACAATGTCCCTTACACCACCCCGCGTCCATTCATTTGCACACGTGCAACAAAACAGATAACAGGTGAATGTATAAGCACCCACCCGAGAGGGAAAAGAATAGAGTAATTCAAAGTTATATGTGATGGGTCAGGATAACATACGTCCGGAAGGGATTTGGTATTTAAAAAAAACGGTCCCACAAAACATTATCCTCACGTCTGATTGAATGCAAAGTAACACCCTCGTCCCCTGGCCCAAGTTAACCCCTACGGCGATTACAACAGGGTGAAAATTTCCGGACAGGTAAAAATGTCCATGCAGGTGACATTTTCTTGGTAGGTTCAAATATCCGGTTACAAGAAAACGTCCGTGCAGGTGACAATATCCGGAAAGGTGCAAATATCCGGGAAGGTGCAAATATCCGGGCAAAAAAATCATGTCCGTGCTAGTGACAATATCCGGACAGGTGCAAATATCCAGGCAGAAGAATAATGTCCGGGCTAGTAACAATATATGGGCAGGTACAAATATACGGACAGAAGAATAATGTCCGTGCAGGTGACAATATCCGGTCAGGTGCAAATATCCGGGCAAAATAATACTGTCAGTGCTAGTGACAATATCCGGACAGGTGCAGATATCCAGGCAGAAGAATAATGTCCGTGCAGGTGCAAATATCCGGGCAGAAGAATAATGTCCGGGCGAGTGACAATATCTGAATAGAAGAATAATGTCCGTGCAGGTGGCAATATCCAGGCAGGTGCAAATATCCGGGCAAAAAAATAATGTCCGTGCTAGTGATAATATCCGTGCAGGTACAAATATACGGACAGAAGAATAATGTCCGTGCTAGTGACAATATCTTGGCAGAAGAATAATTTCCCTGCAGGTGACAGTATCCAGGCAGGTGCAAATATCAGGGCAAAAGAATAATGTCCGTACTAGTGACAATATCTGGGCAGAAGAATAATGTCCGTGCAATGTCTGAGCAGGTGAAAATTGACTCATAACTTTAGGTTGTGTATGGAGACAGGTCACCGAAAAATAATTTTATTAATAATATGTTACTATTTTTAAAAGTTCTAATATCTATTTGATGTTGACTTCAATGTTCACACACACACACACACACACACACACACACACACACACACACACACACATATATATATATATATATATATATATATATATATATATATATATATATATATACTGTTAGCATATCTGATCTGGTGCTCCTGCTGTACACCTCGAGATTCTTGACAAAATCCCAAAAGGGATCTGTAATATAATCGATTCTGATCAGTTATCTCGACTTTGATAATTTTCTCACCGAAGTGACGTGGATTCGATCTGGCTTTTCTACAAATATTATCATGGCAGCTACTCTGAGGAACTTTTTTCCCTTGTGATCCGTTTACATGAATTTAAGCAGGCGACTAGGACTCACCATTTTAATGTTGAACTAACTAGATGCAACCACCACTTCTATTCTAACAGTTTTTTCTCGCACTTCAGACCTGTAGAAATCTTCCGTTTCCTTGCTTCCCTGATAACTAAACTCTTGAAAAATCTAATTGCAACGCCAATCTCCATTTTTGTCTTCTTGAAACCTGCTCCTTCTTTGCCCTTTCCTCACTCATCCCTATGTCTTCTCTTTCACTTCCACTTCCACTCCCTGTAACACCCCTGTGTACTAGTGGCATTACCGCCTTGCTTGGGTTAAAAAAAATATATTACTTTAAACATTATTTTTAGTGGATACCTGTATTTGTGTAGACGTTCCGTTTATTTTAAACAGTATTTTTATTTTGTCTACACGCCTTCAGACCAATTTTAAAAAAATGTCCCCCACCAGCCCCAGCAGGTTCGCACTGGGTTACCCTTTGAAGGAGAAACCACTGTTTAATCTAACGTGCTTTAACCACTCGGTCACCAAGAGTTTCAGGAGCAAGCCACGTTCTATTTGCCCTTAAAGCAAATTTTACTCATTCAGATTTCTTCGAAAGTTTTGTATCCGAAATCTAAACAAAACAATTTCTAAAGAATTCATGAATTTTATTTTTAATCCGCCATATTTCAAATCCTGCCAGATGGCGCATTTTCTGTAATAAATTATCCCGTATGTATAGGCCAGTAGACGAAATAAAAATACTGTTTAAAATAAGCGGAGCGTCTATTCAAATACGGGTACCATACAAAAATAAACATTTACAGAAATAAAAATGCACTGACAATTTAGAAAGCACTATAAGAAGCAAAATGCGAGGAATTTAGGAGCAAATATACAAAACAGTGGTGAAAATAATAATATATCTTTCAACTGCAGGGACAAAATGAATTGTCCATTGAATGGTACCTGCTGAATAGAGGTAGTGATTTACAAAGCTGAAGTCGAAGATGAGAATGGACCAAACAGAGTTTACATAGGATGCACTAAATGTACCTTAAAAAAAAATGATGGTATAACCACAGTTTTTCATTTTAACTACAGAGCTATAGGTTAACTTGTATTATTTGCATTAGTCATACTGTTATCCTCATATTCATTGACATATTCACATGAATATGTCAATGAAGATGAGGATAACAGTCCGACTAATGTAAATAATACAAGTAATCATAAAAACTTATCCCATAGATATAGACAGATATAGTTATAGGTATTGCACTAAACTCACCAACCAGTTAAAAGGAAAAAAAAAAAGCTCAAACATAAATTGGAGCATATTATGAAAGATCAAGTCTGGCAGATCTAGCGGCAATAGTTTTAAATTGTGCCAAGAGAAGTTGGCCATTGTTACTTATCAGGATAGTAAAATATTATTAAATGGAAGGTCTGAGATAATGTCTAAATGTAGGCATATTAATAAATACATTCTAGGCTCATACGAACCAGGACGAAGGTTAATAATGGGGAATGGAAGGAAGAAAACAGTAAGAAGAAAGAGAAAGGGAGGGGGGAGAAAGAAAGAAGGAAGCGTTTTTTTTTGCCATACCCATTGACCTTAGTGAAATTTCCGGTAGTGCTATCAGGTGGCGTGACGTTGAATAATTTAATTTGACTCACAAACTGATGACACCTTGCGTTTGAAACCCGGGTAGGGAATAAGGTAAACATTTTATTTTTTTTTTTATGGCATTAAGCTGGTCTAAAAGTTCCATTTTGAACAGTATATTGAGCACTTTTTAGATATCCGTGTTTGGCCTCGAATTGTTCCTGCCTACTATATATATATATATATATATATATATATATATATATATATATATATATCTGTGTGTGTGTATTTGTGTGTGTGTGTCTGGCTGAATAAGCTACAAACATTATGTCTGCTTATTTTGATCATAATCCTTTCATATTCACGAACATTTTTTTTACGTATATTACAATTGAATAAGGCAAGAAATACACTGTAACAGTGAGAATCACGTTATTTCCTAATTACTTTCCTTCTCTTTCTGATGTCATCATCTGGGGTACAATTGATACTTATTTACTGATTTTTTTTGTTTTGCCTTTAAATACTATAGCTGACAGTTATACTTCAGCGTTTATTAGAACGTGAAAAGTTATATGATTCTATTCAGTGTCCGCTTCAATGTTTTAATGTTGATTGCTTTGAGGATCTGTAGTTTTAATTTGTTATTTTCTCGGTGTAGAATAGTTGTTATCAATCAGTAATTTCTATACTGTGAATGTGGACAGAAATGTTGGTGTAAATGTCTTGCAATGGACGAATGGCCAGACATGTGTAGAGTAAAACGTCTTGATAATGTAGTTGTCGTATATCCAACATATATATTTGTTTTCTGTTGGAGATACATTCTCCCTAGGAACATTTGAATTGATATATAATATTAGTTTTATGCAATATGAATTCGCTTTGATCAGGAACACAATTCCTTAAGGGGCATTTGAACTCATAAAAAAGGTTCGTTCGTTGTCATTTTGATTTTGTTGGTGTGTTGTTATTTTTGAGGATTAAGCTTAAACGCAGTACCTTGTCTGTCATCTTTAATGAAACACACACACACACACACACACACACACACATATATATATATGTTATGAAATAGACTAAGTATGACAATTATTTTTTATATTTTCTGTTTATACGTTATTTTTATAGATACAAATATTTAAGTAAATGCTCTGATATAAAAAAAACCTCAGTATAAACAGGATTCGAACCTGTATCACACAAACAGCAGTTAGACTTTTCTAACCACTATCTAAATAGTACAGCACATTAGGCCAAATGACGGTCCTGTGTAGGATACAGGTTTGATTCCTGTCGGAGGACACATATTTTCCATGAAATGTCTCCAGCATTCAGGCCGGTAAATGTAGTTAATACTGTTTATTATAAAATGTGCATATGTACCGCGTCCATCCAGGACATAGGCAATGATGGCTCTTCACAACTTCCTATCCCTTTTGCAGGGGTTCCCACCCCTCGTTCTACTATTCATTCACACACACAGGCAAATGGATCGCTGCCTTCCCCTATCTCTGTTTGCCCTCAATATGCCTAGTGAAGGTTAAGTTTTCTTAGCCCTCTTTCCTCGTTTCAAGGATTCAAGGGTATTAGCACGTTAGCGAATGTAACAGATTCAACTGGAATTCGAACTCGGCTCACCGAATCCTCAATCCCAGGCGCTATCCATTCCTCCACCGTGCCTCAATTATATAACAATCTTTTTCTAGGTTTCTTTGTAGAAAATTGATTTATAACTACTTCAATATCTGTCACTTTTCCTGATTCATGCCTTTCATTAGCACTGGAATTCGGCTCTCCGATTCCTCAATCCGAACCGCTATCCATTACTCCACCGGGCTTCCTATTACAGAATTAACAATTAAAAAAATTTCAAACCCGCGTTGTGCATATATATATATATGTATATATATTGTTTCGCTGTATCACAGCTCATCAGTGTGGTTAGACGTCCGTTGCCGCTAGCTAAGATCGAAACCCGACTGAATTGGCGTCAATCGAAGATTCTACCACTAATCCGTTGGTGCACGGTGAATTTAAGCGTATTTATTTTTAGATATACACACATTGATTGAGAGAACTCAATTCGATATAACGAAGAGGCTTGCACTATTAGCCGTAATAGTCACTGTTTACAAATCCACACTTCCTCCCCTGAGAGCTCAACCGAAATAATTTTTTCAGGGGCATATCTATTGTCATCCACAGATAGACTGTTTCGCTGTATCACAGCTCATCAGTAGGGCTAGACTTCCGGTATATATATATATATATATATATATATATATGCGCAGCATATCTTTATTCAAACATGTTTCATTGAATAATATAGACATATTGTGTTTACTTATTTTTATACTGATCATTTCAATTTGTTTGATCAGTTTCTTAAAATGGAGGCAAGCTTATAGCGGTTGGGAACGTGACTGAAACCGAGACGTCAGAACAGAGCCTTTAATATTGCTGATTCTTCTTTGGATTTTATCAAGGAGCTCGAGATAAATAACAGATTCTTAGCATGAACGAATGTTGTAGCCGATTTCTAAAGTTTTCCATCACCCGAAGATTTCGAGCACTTCGTGGTTTTCCAGGTGGATTACATTTAAGCGCTGAACCTGTGACTCTGAAAATTTCGATCAATAGCCGTATCGATTTTCAATCTGGAAAAGCATCATTCCAATGTAACATAAAATTAGAACAAAAAGATCCCTGTTTTGCAATTACAGAGTCACTGATTAAAAAAAAGAATGTTTCAAAAAGTTTCTGGAGGTTGGCTTTACAGCAACCAACTGCTGTTCGTGGGCAGGACTAGAAGGCCCAGGTATCACTGTAGCCAGGGGTGGAGTTCTGTAGGACTCTCAGAGCGCCTGTGTTCCATGTTGTTAAGATGGCTGCACCACAACGACAGACGACTCTGACTCTGACTCGGAGTTTTGTTGTTCAGTGGTTTTGACTCAATGTAGAAAACTGTCTTGACTTGAGCCTCTTTGTCATTGGTTCACA